GAGTGTGAGGACGTGTGAGTTAGCCTGTCCATGCCAGAAGCTCTTGATTTGTTATCAAGTATGTGAGGTTCACACTAGAAGGAGAAGTTCTCTGACACGTTGGAGAGGGGATGGCTTGTAGCTGTCAGGGTTAGGGTTATCGTTTGTTCTTTACTTCTGCCTTGAACTATAAGCTTTATTGAAACACAGCTGCTGCCTTTCTTAAAGTTAATTTTTATTAGAGTACAGTTGCTTTCCCATACTGGGTTAGTTTCTGCAGTACAGCAGAGTGAATCAGCTATGCATATACATATATCCCTTCTTTTTTGGATTTCCTTCCCATTTCGGTTACCACAGAGCATTGAGTGGTGTTCCCTTAGGTATACAGTACACTGTCATTAGTTATCTATTTTATGCATAGTATCAACAGTGTATATGTGTCAATTCCAATCTCCCAGTTCATCCCCACCCCACCCCCCATCCTCTTGGTATCCATCTGGTTGTTCTCTTGTCTGTGTCTCTTTTTCTGGTTTGCAAATAAGCCGTTACTTTTAAACACTGACTAATACCCTATGTAGTTATTTAAAAAACACCCACAAACTTCTTATTTTGGAATAAATATACATTCACTGGCAGTTGCAAAGAAATGGAGAGAAGCCTTTGGCACCCCCTTGCCCCTTCTTCCCCACTGAGCATCTTGGGTAACTAGGGCAATAGCAAATCTGGGTGATGACATGGGTAACATGCACAGAGCTGATTCAAATGCTGCCACTTAGGCATGCACTTGTGTTTGCAGCTTCCTGTCCCCGCCCACACAGTCATGACACAGAACCATCCCGCTACCCCAGGCTCCCTAGTGCTGCTCCTTACAGAGCCACCTTCTCTGTTGCCCATTCCCAAACTTTGGCAGCCGCTCACCTGTTCTCTATCTCCAGAGTTTTGTTATTTCAGTGGTTTCACAAGTAGAGCCATACTGGTTGTGCAACCTTTTGAGACTATATTCCTTCACTCAGAATAATCTCCCTGAGGTTAATCTAAGTTGTTGTATTTCTTTTTATTGCTGAGTAACGTTCTGTATGATGGATAGACCATCATTTGGGTAATCTTTCACCACTGAAGGACATTGGGTGGGTTTTAGTTATGCACTGTAATGGAAAAGCTACTCTGAACACTGGTGTGTAGAATTTTATGTGAACAGAAGTTTTCCTTTCTCTACAGTAGATGTCCAGGAGTGTGATACATTGGGTCATTTGTCACTTTAAAAGAAACACTTATAATTTTAAAAGAAGCTTGCAAGCTATTTTCCAAAGTGGCAAAATCATTTACATTCCAACCAACAGTGTATGAGTGATCAAGTTTTTTGCATAGTTGCCAGCATTCGCTATTATCACAACTTTTTGTTTGAGCCATTCTGATGGATGTGCTCTCACTGTTTAATTATTTTTGAGATATAATTCACATTCCATTCAGTTCAGTTCAGTCGCTCAGTCGTGTCCGACTCTTTGTGACCCCATGAATCGCAGCACGCCAGGGCTCCCGGTCCATCACAAACTCCCCGAGTTCACTCAAACTCATGTCCATTGAGTCGGTGATGCCATCCAGCCATCTCATCCTCTGTGGTCCCCTTCTCCTCCTGCCCCCAATCCCTCCCAGCATCAGGACCTTTTCCAATGAGTCAACTCTTCTCATGAGGTGGCCAAAGTATTGGAGTTTCAGCTTCAGCATCAGTCCTTCCAATGAACACCCAGGACTGATCTCCTTTAGGATGGACTGATTGGATCTCCTTGCGGTTCAAGGGACTCTCAAGAGTCTTTTCCGACACCATCGTTCAAAAGCATCAATTTTTCGGCGTTCCATTAAACTCTCCCTTTTAAGGTATATAATTCAGTGATTTTTAGTATATTCTCATGTAGGGTCAACCATCATCATTATCTGTATTTCCAAAGCATTTCATCCCTGGTAATGCAGGGCCGATTACCAGTCACTCCCAATTCAGCTGTCTTCCCAGCCCCTGGCAACCACTGATCTTCTGTCTCTATGGATTTTCCCATTCTAGACCCACCATATAAATGAAATATGATAATCTATGGCCCTTTGCGACTGGCTTCTTTCACTTAGCATAGTATTTACAGGGTTGATCCATGTTGTAATATGAATCTGTGGTACTTTCCTTTGTATGGGTAAACATTCTGTTGTATGAATACACTGCATTTTGTTTATCCATCAGTGAGTGGATATCTGGGTTGTTTCCACTTTTGCCTGTTATAAACAATGTTTTTCACAACATTTATGTACAAGTATTTCTGCCATGAGTGTTTTCTTTGGGATATTTTCCTAGGAGTTGAATCGCCAGTTCGTATGGTAATTCTGCGTTTAGGCTTTTGAGGAACTGCCAGACTGCTTTTCAAAGCAGTCATCATTTTACCTCCCCACCAGCAGCATATGAGGGTTCTGGTTTCCCTACATCTTTGCCGACACTTGTATTTGTTTTATTGATTCTCGCCATCCTACTGGAAGTGAAGTGGTCTTACATTGTAGTTTTGATTTTTCATTTCCCTGAGGACTGATGATTTTTGCATCTTCTTATGTGCTTATTGGCCATTTGTGTAGCTTCTTTGGAGAAATGTCTATTCAAGTCTTTTGCCCCCCCCCCCACCTTTTAACTTTCATTTTTTAAAATTAAACTTTTAATTTTGTATTGGAGTATAGCTGATAAACAATGTTGTGATAGTTTTAGGTGGACAGCAGAGGGACTCGTCTATACATATACATGTACCACGCTCCCCCAAACTCCCCTCCCATCCAAGTGTCTTGCTAAGTTTTAAATTCAGGTATCTTTTTAGTCTTGAGTTGTAACGGTTCCTTACATATTTTAGATACTAGATTGTTATTAGATACATGAAATGCCAATCGTTTCTCCCATTCTGTGGGCTGGCTTTTCCCTGTGGTTTAGACTTGTGTTTCCCCAGTGACTGCTGATGTTGGTCATCATTTCGTCTGCATGTTTGCTGTGTGAACGGCCTCTTGGGTGAAATGTCCACGCGTATCTTTGTGTTTGTCACATCTTCTTACTACGACTATGGCTGGAGACGTTTTCCTTGATTAGTCTTCACACTCCTCTTTGCAGCAGCAGTAGGATGGATCAGAGACAAAACTGTTAAGTGGCTTATATCTATAGGTTTTTTTAAATTTGTGATTAAAAAACACGTAACATGGAGTCTGCCCTCAACAAACAGGTGTACAGTGTAAATGTTAACTATATGTGTGTTAACTGTAAGCAGATTTCTAAAACTTTCACTTTGCACACACTGACACTCTAGAACAAGCCCCTGGCAGCCACCATTCTGCTTTTCGTTTCTATGAGTTTGGCTACTTTAAATACAGTAAATGAATAGAATCATGCATTATTTGCCTGTGACTGCCTTATTTCACTTAGCATAGTGTCTTCCAGGTTCATCTATGTTGGAGAATGTGACCATAGCCGTAGGGTTTTTAAAAATTTTATTGAAGTGTAGTCAATTTACAATATCATGTTAATTCCTGCTGTACAGTGAAGTGATTCAGTTATGCGTATATGTGTATATATACACATTCTGCTTCATATTCTTTTCTACTATGGTTTATCACAAGGTGTGGACTGTAGTTCTCTGTGCCATACAGTAGGACCTTGTTTATCCACTCTATATATAACAGTTTGCATCTGCTAATCCCAAACTCCCAGTCCAGCCCTCCACCCCACCCCTCAACAACCACAAGTCTGTTCTCTAAGTCTGTTTCTGCTTTGTAAATAAATTCACTTGTGTCTTATTTTAAATTTTTTTTAATTTATTTTTAATTATTTAATTTTTCCCCTGGAGAAGGGATAGGCTCCCACTCCAGTATTCTTGGGCTTCCCTGGTGGCTTAGATGGGAAAGAATCCACCTGCAACGTGGGAGACCTGGGTTTGATCCCTGGGTTGGGAAGACACCCCTGGAGGAGGACATGGCAACCCACTCCAATATTCTTGCCTGGAGAATCCCCATGGACAGAGAAGCCTGGCGGGCTACAGTCCATGGGGTCGCAAAGAGTCAGACACGACTGAGCGACTAAGCACGCACAGCACAATTTATTTTGGGGGCCATGCCTCACGGCTTGTAGACTCTTTGTTCCCTAACCAGAGATTGAACCCAGGCCTCCAGTAGCAAGAGTGTGGAGTCCTAATGACTGTCAGGGAATTCCCCATTTGTGTTATGTTTTAGATTCCACATATATATATATAATATCATATAGTGTTTGTCTTTCTCTTTCTGACTTGCTTCACTTAGTATGATAATCTCTAGGTCCATCCATGTTTTCAGAAATAGCATCATTTCATTCTTATTTATGGCTGAGTAATATTCTGTTGTATATATGCACCACATCTTTTTTATCCATTCATCTCTTAATGGACATTTAGGTTGTTTTCACGGCTTGACCATTGTGAGTAGTGCTGCATAGCTGTAAGATTTTGATCCATGCTAGGCGAATACTCGGAGAAGTCAGTGGCAACCCACTCCAGTACTTTTGCCTGAAAAATCCCATGGATGGAAGAGCCTGGTAGGCTGTAGTCCATGGGGTCGCGAAGAGTCCAACACAACTGAGCGACTTCACTTTCACTTTCATGCATTGGAGAAGGAAATGGCAACCCACTCCAGTGTTCTTGCCTGGAGAATCTCAGGGATGGCAGAGCCTGGTGGGCTGCCATCTATGGGGTCACACAGAGTCAGACACGACTGAAGCGACTTAGCAGCTTAGCAGGTGAGTACTCATTTTTATCTCATTAATAACCACATCATCTTACCATGACTCAGTTTCTCCATCAGGAAAATGGTCACAGTGGTATGGAACTTGGCTGTAATTAAACTCAGACCTTTGTGAATAATTAGTACTCTGATCCTATGGACAGCCTCATAGATGGCAGATAAGCGCTTTTGCCAAGAAGTCAAAATCAGCAGGAGAATGTCCTCATTCTGGTTTTATAATTTTTTGCTTTGTTTATTTGGCTGCACTGGGTCTTGGTTGCCTCATATGAACTCTTAGCTGTGGCATGTGGGATCCAGCGCCCTGAGCAGGGATTGCAGACACCCCGAATTGGGAGTGGGGAGTCCCAGTCACTGGACCACCAGGGAAGTCCTCTCATCCTCGTTTGTTGCAGAGGCTTCACTGAGTGGCCACATTTCTCTATTAATTTTTAATTTCTTTTCTTGCATAATGTTTATGCAAACTATTCCCAAAGTATTCCAGAGTGTCTCAGCATACACATCCTGAAAAGGAAAGGACGGGGGGAACCAATTAAGGGTCTGATTCTCATTAAAGGGGCTTCTGTGCCCACAAAGAGAAGGATCCCTAAGCCAGCCTCCCCCCGACCCCGAGAAACAGCCAGTTCTCAGGGAGTTGCTATGGAAATGTGCTCTGGTACCAGGAGGCAGTGAAGTAAAGCACTCCAGGAGTCTCGGAGGCTAGGAAATGGACGTTTTGGCATCTGTTCCCAAAGTCTCCTGCAGTTGCTTTTTGCATTAAATTCTTTCTCAATGTTTCATCGTTCCCCTGTGGACACGGAGGCTGAAGGTGTGGACTGTCGCTTAGAGGCTTTACAAAGGGCAGGAGAGATCTGGAAGATCTGGCCATCACACTGTGGTTTTTAAATAAGACAGGATGATCATTTATACCCCTTCTTGTCTTAGAAGCAAAAAAACTGTCACCATCTGAACTCTCCCCATGGACGTCTTAGCTCATGCAGCCTTCTCTTGGGGAGAGAGAATGTATCTTTGCCTTGGTCCTTTTTCTTTCCCCACCCGCCCTCCTCCCTGTAGACCCTGATTCTGCAGCACCCCTCCCTGGGAGCTGACCAGAAGCTTCAGCCCTCACCTGTCTCAGCATGCACTGTGGCTTTGCGTTTTGGGGACGGATCCGGGTGGTTAGGATCACTACTGCCTGGGAATCCTTGGCCAGAGGAGATTCCTCCGGTGTCCTCCACGCTGCTGTGCTTCTCGCTCATCAGACCCTCAGGGATGCTGGCAAGCTTCAGTTCCCATGGCTGGTTTTCATCTTTCTTCCGGTTAAATCAGCTATGACACCTGGCAGAGTGCTGCTTCTCACGGGGGCCGAGGCAGAGCCAGATGCTGCCAGCATATTCTGGGGCCTGGTGTCCCTGGAGTGCATTCAAGGCCAGTCCATCCACTCTGCACAGACATGGGGAGAAGAATGTCAGTGCTGGAGAGGAGCTGAAAGTCATCTCAGCAGCCCCTTAATGCAACATCATGGAAGAATTTTATTGGAAAACAAAGACCTGCCCGCAGCTATAGTTCTTAGCATGTGGCTGAGCGATGCTACTTTGACTTCAAATATAATAACTGTGATTTCAATGATGAAACTATTAAAAATATTCGTAGAAGCTAGCATAGGGTTCCCAAAGTGTGAGGGCTCTGTCACAGCTTTGTACTAAAGCAAAATGGTCAGAAATATAGGTCAAAGGAGGTAAACCAATGTGTGCACGCATACACACACACACACACACACACGTAAAAAATAAGGGAAGGGCATTCTTGCACGGTGCCAAATGGCAACCGTGTAGGTGCTTTCTAAATCACTTCTATTTATTTGCTTTGAGAAGAGTGTCCTTCCCCCCACCCATTTCCTTGTCCTGTGTCCAGAGAGTAGGGTCAGTTTCTCAATTTTCTGGGAAAAGTCTGTGGTTGCCTTGAAGACCAGGGTTAATCTCTGTGGGCTGTTTGTCTTTTTGTCTTTGAGTTCTCCCTGTGGACCTAGGCTGGCTCCCTGCCTGGTGCCCAAGCTTCCACCTTACCTCCTTCTCAGAGTCCCACTCTGCAGACCTCAGGGATTTCTTCTCCCTCACCTGTCCTTTGCTGATCTGTGTTGTTTCATTCCAAGGCTCTGCTCGATACTTCAAGCTGATCCCAGAGGCTAACTGAAGGTAAAGTGGGAAAGGAAATTAGAGGCATTCCTCATTGCCTTTCCATAAACATTTATGTTTTAAAGCTTTAGATCCTTTAATTCTAAAAACAGTCAAGAGGACAGGAGGAAGACATGATAGAGGAAGGAGATCAAAAGGGATAAACAAGTAGGTATAGAGTAAGATACAACTTGGAATACTCTGGTGGTTCAGACTCCCTACTTCCAATGCAGAGGGTGTGGGTTTGATCCTTGGTAGGGGAACTAAGATCCCACATGCCTCGTGGTGTGGCCAAAAAATAAAAATATTAAAAAATAAATTTAAAAAGCAAAATTAAAATAAGATACAAGGATGTAATGTACAGCACAGGGAATATTGCCAACATTTTATAATAATTTAAATGGAGTATAATCTATGAAAATGTTGAATCACTATGTCATAAATGTGAAACTAGTACAGTGTTGTAAATCAACTATACTTCAATTGAAAAAATGATGAGTGGAACAGGCCACTCAAGGAACAATGGGAAAGTAGCTTTTCTTTTCTGGACATTACATTGGGTCAGTCAGATTACACAGTTGATTACCATCCAGACACTGGCCATGCCTACATCTGGGCCGTAGTTCATTCCTCTGTCCAGTTGTTAATCCTGCTTTATTCCAGATGTGTCTTTTATAAACTTTTATCTGTCTGTACATCAGGTCGTAAGTTACTAATGGAAAGGAATCCTCTCAAATCCAATTATTTTTGTGAACAATAGGAACTTAATATGTATCTGTTAACAATGGAATATGAATAAACCAGAAGGAGTCAGCAGTAAGTCTTTACTAGTTTAGGAAACCACTCTCAAGGGTGATTGGAACAGCCCTGTGAGGGCTTGGATTCTGTGTTGTGAGAAACACCAATTAACCGAAAGCTTTAAGCAAAGGTCATTTCTTCCCCCCTTAGCTAATTCACATGGCAAATATGTTGCGCTCGCAGCTGAAACTGAATGCTTTCTGGAGAGACCTGCCCAAGGAAATGAGCTTGAGATGCTGTCACTGTCAGCACTGTGATCAGCTCGCTGACTCTGCAGAGGTGGCAGGTCTGGTCTTTTTCCCTTGAAAAACTTCAACAGGGCTGGTGTCTACAGGCATTTAGGGCACCAAGGAAATAATGTCAAGGGCGCTGCTTACTCTCCTATGGACACTTTAAAAATATATATATTTTTTAATGTAAAAATTATATATATAAATATGTATGACCTGGTGAAGACCTGCGCCTGGTCTTCGTTGCAGCTCGTGGGGTAGTGGGTCTTTGTTGTGGCGTGCAAACTCTTAGTTATGGCACGGGATCTTGTTTCCTAACCAGGGGTCAAACCCTGCTTTTGGAGCATGGAGTCTTAGCCACTGGACCACCAGAGAAGCCCCTCCTATGGACACGTAAAGTGGTGGGTACTGTCTTGAGTGTTGGCCTGGGGCGGACCCTGGGGCTGATCCTAGTACTGCTCCAAACTGGTTCTGTGACTGTAGGTGAGATCTTCACCCTCTCGGGGCCTCAGCTTCTTTATCTGTGAAACTGGGATGATGATCTCTTTGAGCAGAGCTGTTTTAAGATTTAATAAGCTCTGTATGCAGAGAAAGTGAAAGTCGCTCAGTTGTGTCTGATTCTTTGCAGCCCATGGACTATACAGTCCATGGAATTCTCCAGGCCAGAATACTGGAGCAGGGCTTCCCTTGGGGCTTAGCTGATAAAGAATATGCCTGCAATGCTGGAGACCTGGGTTCAATCCCTGGGTTGGGAAGATCCCCTGAAAAAGGGAAAGGCTGCCCCCTGCAATATTCTGGCCTGGAGAATTCCATGGACTGTATAGTCCATGGGGTCACAAAGAGTAGGACACGACTGAGGGACTTTCACCTTCACTGTATGCAGAGAGTTTGGCACAGATTAAGAAGTGGCTAGGGAGTGAATAGAAGCCTTATAGTTTGGTAAATCCCCAAACGGTTCGCATTTTGGCCCAACTGAACTTTCAGGGTGGTGTGTGAAGGCAGTGCTTGCAGACTGAGGAATCTGAGCTTCCAGGCGGATGTCTCTTTAAGTCTTGGACCCCAGGGGTGACCATGGAGGCTCCAATGGCTGGCCATGCTGTGTAATGTCTTGTTTTGGCACACAGTTCTCCTTCTGGGGCGGGGAACGGGGGAGCATGGGTTTGGTTGCTGTCATGGGCTCGGGGGATAGAGGGGGCTCTGCGTGGGCAGGCTGGCTGGATGCCCAGAACTCTGACGGCCACAGCATGGACTGAATGTTGTGTCCCCTCCCCCCACCACTCATATGTTGAAGCCTGAACCCCCAATGCCATGGAGTTGGGAGGCTGCGATGGCCCGAGCCTTATGAATGGGATTATAGAGAAGACCTCAGTGAGCTCCCTTGTACCCCCATGTGCGGACATGGCTGCTTACCGACCTGGAAGCTGCACTCACTTGACACCAAACCTGCCAATGTCTGTTCTTGGACTTCTTAGCCTCTAGAACTGTGAGGAGTTAATTTCTGATTTTTTTTTTTTTACAAGCCACCCAGTCTGTAGTACTTTGTTATAGCAGCTGGACTGGACTAAGATAACTGTCAATATTATGGCCCAGTAGTCTTATTGAATTTTTAAAAAAAATACCTTTTAGTAGTCTCAGATTCACTGCAAAATTGAAGGGAAGATAGACTTTCCATATACCCCCTGCCTCAACACATGCAGGGCCTCCCCTCATCATCAACATCCTCCTCCAGATGCTACCTGTGTTGCAGCTGACGAACCTACACTGACATGATGATCATGGAGTCCAGTTTACCTTTAAGTTGCCGTGGTGATGTGTGTTCTGTGTGTTTGTACAGGTGTGTGATGGTAGGTATCCACCGTCAGGGTACCATTCAGAGTCGCTTCACTGCCTGAGACTTCCCCGTGTCCTGTCAGTTCACCCCTTCCCTCCCCGCTAGGCTTACTGGACTTTCAGCAAGGATTTAGTTATTTTGCCAGTGGGACAGGACATACTTAGAGGTGCATGCATCTGTTTTTATCTGTATCATAAGACCATAAGTTAAAAGTAGGTTCGGATCAGAGGTAGAAAAGTAAATTCTATAACATACCTTTCTTTGTGGCTGTGGATTCTCGTCTTGACAAGTCAATCTTGTGTGGTGTAATTCACTTAGAATTCTTGGCTACTTCTGCTCCCCATATCTGCCACTCCTCACCCTCCGCTTCTCCGTGACACCAGATACTCTGAGCATAGGGACTGTGTCTTTTTTGTTTAATTGGAGTATAGTTGCGTTACAGTGCCGTGTTAGTTTCTGCTGTAGGCAAAGTTAATCAGTTGTATGTGTACATACATCCCCTCTTTTGTGGATTTCCTTCCATTTAGGTCGCCACAGAGCATTGAATAGAGTTCCTTGTGCTGCAGGAGGTTCTCACTAGTTACATATTTCACACACAGTATCCTAGTGTAATCTCTCATAGTGTATCATAGTGTAATAGTACCATAGTCCTAATCTCTCAGTCCATTCCACCCCTCTCCCCCTTGGTATCCGTACATTTGTTCTCTGTGTCTGTATCTCTATTTTTGCTTTACAAATGAGTTCATCTACACCATTTCTCTAGATTACACAAATATGCATTAATATATAATATTTGTTTTTCTCTTTCTGACTTACTTCACTCTGTATGACAGACTCGAGGTCCATCCATGTCTCCGCACATGGCACAGTTTCATTCCTTTTTATGGCTGAGTAATATTCCATTGTATATATGCACCATATCTTCTTTATCCATGCCTTTGTTGATGGACATTCAGGTTGCTTCCATGTCCTGGTTGTACACAGTGCCGCAGTGAACATTGGGGTGTGTGTGTCTTTTTTTGAATTACGATTTTCTCTGGTATATGCCCAGGGTTGGGATTGCAGGATCATATGGTAGTTCTACTTTTAGTTTTTTAAGAAACCTCCATCCTGTTCTCCATATTTGCTGTACCAGTTTACATTCCCACCAACAGTTCAAGATGGTTCCCTTTTCTCCACACCCTCTCCAGCATTTATCATTTGTAGATTTTTTTTGATGATCTGACTGGTGTGAGGTGATACCTCGCTGTAGTTTTGATTTGCATTTCTCTAATAATTAGTGATGTTGAACATCTTTTCACATGTTTGGTCATCTGTGTGTCTTCTTTGGAGAAATGTCTGTAGGGACTATGTCTTCTTCATCCTTGTAGTTAATACACAGATTGCTCGGCCAGTGCTCGGTGAATGGGAGAAGGAATGCTCAAACGCTAGCTTTAAGACCCCACTTCCTTTCACTCTTGCTATTCTGTGAGCTTCTCCTGCCACTCTTGCCTCACGTATGCTGCTGCATCAACTCCTCTTTCCATCCATCCATCTTGGGGGGTGGAATTGGGCAGAGACCCCAGTCTCCAGAGAGACATGGCGGTTGCTTCTCACCCAGCCTGGGCTTGTAGCAGGTTGAGGTGGTTTTGCTCCAGGGTCTGAACCCCATCTGGGGAGGCCTGGGAGCTTAGATGCAAACAACAGCCATCTTACTCCTGCAGGGGTTTTCATCGCTTATCTTTTGACAGTATGATACAGTGTGGAGGGGTGTGTCTCAGGGCCCAGGCTTTTGTTTTTTCTTGATTTTTTGGCTTGGTTCGGTTCACTTCTTTAAACCTGGGGAAATGCAGTCTAGCACCTGCAAACTGGGGTCGGCTTAACTCTGCCACCCTTGGTAACGTGGTTGAAGGATGGTGAGTGAAACGCTTTGAGTCTCTTTTGGAAGAGTTGCTGGTGAAATGCAGTGTGTCCTTCTCTTGTCACCTGCCAGTGGCACCCCTGTGTGACCAAGGGTGCTGACCACAGAAGGGTGTTAGCAGGACCAGTCCCACTAATATCAGTGGGTGGTCAGCTGCTTGCTGAGAGCCCTCGGCTGCAAGCCTGGCCTGGTTCCCAAAGCAGGGAGACCTGAGTCCCCCGGCTCACGGGCGGGGCTGTTGACTGTCATTCTTCTTCTAGTTGGAAAAACAACCAGGGGCAAATTGGCTTTGTGGGTTTTTTCACTTTCAACTTTTCTCATGAAACGCAAACTCTTCCTTTTCTATTACAAGGCTGACCTGTGTCCAGCAGGGGTGGGGGGAATTGAGCAGGACATGGGAGGCTTCCTATCTGTTCAGAGCTTAGGCTGGGGACTGGGTTTGAAGGAACCTTGCTTGGTTTCCATTGGAGGGTATGAGGAGGCCTGGAGAGCATTTGT